ATAGGTATGTAAGTAGGGAAAAATCATTATGTATAGGAAAAGAACAGTAAATATAGGGTTCGGGTACTATTTGCGGTTTCAGGTATCCACTGGGGGTCTTGGAAGGTATCCCTCGGTGGATAAACCGGGACTGTTGTAGCGGAAAGATGCTCTAATAGGTGAAGGTGAATATTAAAACAAGTAATTACAATAAAGTGGGATTATCATTATGGTAAGGGAGGGAGAAGTACTGTTTTTCATTTGGCTAGAACATTTGTGTTTTCCACTCTGATGGCATTCTTCACATTGTGTCTGAAGCTTCGGTCTCCCTTTCTTGGTAGTGCTCCCCTAGAAGGTCTCATTTAGCATGGTATCCCCACACCTAGTCCAATGCCTGACATTTGAAACCTAATAAGAATTTTTTGAATGAATAAACGCTCTATGAATATTGTTGAACAAATGTTTTATTCAGCTTTTTATATCCATAGTCCTGAACATATGGTTGGCACATAATAAATATTAGTCAATGAAATGAGAGTCATCTATTCTTTTATAATGTGGTTTTTAAAATCTCTACACCCAACGTGGGGCTTGAACTCATGACCCAGAGATCAAGAGTCACATGCTCTACTGACTCAGCCAGCCAGGCATCCCCTAGTCAATGAAATGAATGAATAGTCATGGTATTGTGAACAGCAGTTGTTGTGGAGAAAAAATACTGACTCAGGATGGAAGGGAGTTGAGGATTAAGACCTACTTCTGCCATGTACTAAGCTGTAGTTACTGGAGCCAAATACAACCTCTCTCTTGGGTTCTGATTCCTCATTTGTAAAGTGAATGTAACTGCCTGTCCTGCCTCCTTCACAGATTGGTCATCAGAGTCAAATTGCTTAATGCAGTTGAAGTGCTGTGAAGCACTGTATACATCTCACCATTCAGCACCTGCTTGCTGCAAGAAAGGAAGGGACTTTCAGTACAAATAAGAGACCAGCATCACTTTTCTTTGAGAAGCTCTTGGAAGGTAGAGTGCTTTCCATCTTAAACACCATTCTCCTTGCTATCTTTTTTACTGTTACAAATCCTTTCTCAACCTCCTTCTTCCCTAAATATCAAAAGAAACAACATCATTCTTTTATACTTTTTCCCTTGGCATTTTATATTGAAATGTGTCAAACTTACAGAAAAGATGAAAAAACATTGTAATGAACACCTTATACCTTTTATCTAGATCACCAGTTAATTTTTTAAAAGATTTTTTAAAAAAATTATTTATTTTAGAGAGAGAGAGAGAACGAGTGGGGTGAGGGACAGAGGGAGAAGCAGGCTCTTTGCTGAGCACGGAGCCTGATGCTGGGCTCAATACCAGGACCTGGGGACCCTAGTTCTTGTGGCACTAAATCTAAAGGATCACAGGTCTTGTTGATTTGGAAAGGTGGTAAGTCCAATGGGCTGTGATCTTGACAGTATGTGTATTAATTATCTCCTTCATTCATCCATTCCTCTATCAACTCATTCATTCATTCAGTTAATATTAAATGAGCACCTAATATTTAAATCAAGCTCTGTGTAAGCCTCTAGGGTTAGCAATGATGAAGAAAATGAGGTCTCATGTCCCAGTCCTCATGGAGCTTATAGTGTAATAAGGGACATAGAATTGTCACATAATAGGAACAAAGCTGAAACTATGATTGTGGCAAATAAGAAAGCTGGGGAATTTAAACCTCAGTATTTCTTCAGAATTTAGAGGCAATCATTATATAATGCATGATTATTCTGTATACCACTAAGAAAAAAATGATCCACAATGGAAACCCTAAAAGGGAATGTCACATTTAGCTGGGGTACCAAAGGGCTGTCCTACTCAATAAAAGGGTAAATGAGGAAAATATGATCTCACAGTAAGGGGCAGCAGGGCAACTTGCTGGTCTCAACCTTGGCACTGGGTGGTAGGAGGAAAATAAGACTCCCCTAAGAATCCCAATGCCAAGTCAGTACTAAAGGGTTTTCAATCTGAATTCACATTGATGCTGTGTCCAAAAAACTCAAGCAGATAATTTAAAGGGATTTCAGGTTAGTAGTTCCCTGAGATGACTGGTAGAAACAAATGCAAATCTTGCTGGAAGAATTTGACTTTAATCTGGGCCAGCAGTGATTGGGAGACTCCATTTACTTATAGGACATACTCTCATGCTTAAGGGGAATGAAACATGCATCACTGACTTGATGAAACATTGTAATCAGGGAGGTGTGGGTGGCTTTCCTGATACACTGATGCATGGACTGACATTGAGATCTGATGGACAAAAAAGCTTTACCTTGGGGAAGAGGGTCGGAAGAACATTCTAGTTGGAGGCATGAGCACATACAAAGGGCCTTCAGAGGGGGGAGATACAGAGAATACAGGGAACTGGAGAGGCCTGGGATGCTGGAGCAGTAAAGCAGGGAGCATGGTGGTGCGCAAGGCTAGGGGGCAGGGCTCAGGTGAGGCTGTGCAGGCCTATTTAAGCCACATGAAGGACTTTTGTCCAGATCTTAAGAGAGATGGGAGCTGAAAAGGTTTCTGGAAGGAGAGATTGAGAGGATCACATATGAGTTTAGAAACAATGGTTTTGGCTGCAGTAAGGAAAATATATTGAGGGTGGATAGAAGCCTAGTGAGTAGTGCTCATACTCTAACCTTGAGACATGACTCTTTACTTTGCAGAAAAGATAACTCAGAAAGACTGAGGCCCACTTTGGACTTTGCTGTGTGAAAGAGAATAATCTCAGACACAGCAAGTTCAGAGAGTATCACCATGCCAGGAGGTCTGCCGCTGATAGGGGGTATCCTGGGGAAGGACGTGGGTAGCGTATAAAGGTGGTGGTTTGGCTTTCTTATAATATATCTTATAAAATATTACTTGCCTTTTTTTTTTTTGGTCCCTAAGTGAGCTGCCCAAAAGCCACATGGTTAAAGAGATTTTCACAGTGCAGATGATAATGTTTTTCTTAAATCCCATCTGTCTTATTTTTTAATAAAAATCTGCTATAGTTCAATAACTAGGGCTTGTTCTACACTAAGAAACGCAGGGTGTGGTCTCAGTGGTTGAATTTGCTGTAGTTTGTCTTTTTGCGGATGCCCTGTCCCTGGCTTTTTGTGAAGAGTATTTTATCTTTAAGCTCTAAATACAGTGTTAGAGGGACGCCTGGGTGGCTCAACTGGTTAAACATCTGCCTTCGGCTCAGGTCATGATCCCAGGGGACTGGGATCAAGTCCCGTGTCAGGCTCCCTGCTCCGCAGGGAACCTGCTTCTCCTCTGCCTCTCTCTCTGTCGCTCTGTCTCTCATGAATAAATAAATAAAATCTTTCAAAAAAATATAGTGTTAGAAAAGAGTGACTTCAAACACCTAAAAGATTTAAATGTGCTCTTTTGTTTTTAAGATTTGCTTTATAAATAAGCATACAATTATATAAACATGCATTAACGGGATCACGTAGTACATAGTGGGGTTTTACTTAGTGAAATTATTTTTTTCCCATTTTCTTTTTAACTTGCTTCCCTCCATCGCCTAGTGTTCTCAGACCATGACTCTGTGTCACGCCCCACCAGTAACCCATTAAATTTATTTATTTATTTATTTATTTTAAAGATTTTATTTATTTATTTGACAGAGAGAGACATAGCGAGAGAGGGAACACAAGCAGGGCGAGTGGGAGAGGGAGAAGCAGGCTTCCCGGAGAGCAAGGAGCCCAATGTGGGGCTCTATCCCAGGACCCTGGGATCATGACCTGAGCCGAAGGCAGACGCTTAATGACTGAGCCACCCAGGCACCCCAAATTTATTTTTGTTTTTAAATAAATCTTATATTGTGCCAATATGAGCTGGGCATGTTCTAAGCACTTGACACATGTTAGATATCTGGTAAACCCCATGGATTTTTCTCACAGTAATTTTTAAAATGCATAACATAAAATATATAGGATTATAAAGTAAATCAATTGTATTAAAATAACATTGTCAAATCTTAAAAATATCACTGGGGCACCTGAGTGGCTCAGTCGGTTAAGTGTCTGCCTTCACCTCAGCTTCTCCCTCTCCCTCTGTCTCCCAGCTTGTGCTCTCACTCTCTGTCAAATAAATAAAAAAGAATAAAAAAAAAAATCTCAAAAATATCACAATACATATAATACTTAACACATTAAATAGACATAGTGTTAGGTCATTTAACTGTCATAGTTCAAAGTAATGATGGGTATGAATGATATTTTGAGATATTTGTAAGATATTTCATGTGACATGAAAATATCTGTAACACAACCATAGGTACTGCAAATAATATTGAGGTTTGTTGCCTACATTTATAATGGAACAAAGTGCTAAACTTTAGTTTGTTGTGAAAATAAAGGTGTAATTTTTTTTCTATCAAGTTTGTGCACCAACCGCCAGGTTAAGATAACACCTTTTGGTTGAGGAATTCCATTTCTGCTAAATGAACAAAGTATCTTGTATTCTGTATGTTCAAAGCTCATTAGAATATAGTTCAGTATTTAGGGAAATCAAGGTTTATGTTTACCATACTGGTACAAATAGGAATTGCAAAAGATATAGGGAGCATGTATGCTCCTACAAAGAACGCCCTATAATGGGACAGAGTGGGGCCTCCACATCATGCTGACTTGACTCTGGGCAGCAAGATTGGTTTAAAATAATATGAAATACAGGGCACCTGGCTGGCTTAGTTGGTAGAACATGAGACTCTTGATCTTGGGGTCGTGAAGTTGAGCCCCATGTTGGAGGTAGAGTTTACTTAAAAAAAGAATAGATTTGAAAAAAATAATATGAAATAAAGGAAGAAAAAACCCTGAAAAAATATTGGTAGAATTAATTTCAAGTACAAAAGATAAAAAGATAAAGTGAATTCTCATAGATTGAGAATATTTTTCGTATACTTTGAAAAATCTGAAGATGTCAGTACCTTTATATCACACATTTAAAAAAAAATGCCACTCTGGAGTTGAGAGTTCAACTGCAAGTTTCAAAGATGCCACCCAAGGGAAAAAGCACTTCCAGGATTAACAGTTCTGACAAGAAGACTCAAGGCCCCAAAGGTGGTGGCAATGGAGTAAAGGTCAGACACATTTTTTTTTTTAAGACTTTATTTATTTATTTGTCAGAGAGAGAGAGCACAGGCTGGAGGCGCAGCAGGCAGGGGGAGAAGCAGGCTCCCCACTGAGCAAGGATCCTGATGCAGGACTTGATCCCAGGACCCTGGGATCATGACCTGAGGTGAAGGCAGACACTTAACCGACTGAGCCACCCAAGCATCCTGGTCAGACACATTCTGTGGGAAAAACATGTGAAAATCGTGGAAGCCATGGAAAAGTTAAAGTCTGCAATGAGATTCAATGAAGTGGCTGTACAGTATAGTGAAGATAAAGCCAGGCAAGGGGGACACTTGGGTTGGATGACCAGAGGTTCCATGGTGGGACAATTTCAAGAAGCAACATTTGCCTTGCCTGTGAGTGGGCTGGATAAGACTGTGTTTACAGAACCTCTGATTAAGATAAAATTTGGATATCACAGTATTATGGTTAAAGGGAGAAAATAAAATTGTATGAAAGACTGAAAAAGAAATGCCACTCTGGGAGGCTCAGATTCCAACCTTGATGAAGGAGGCAGTTTTGTTCTGTCAGACAAAAAGCTGATGATAGTGGGGAGGAGAGCAATGATCTCTTCTGGGTAGTGCAACTCAATATCATTTCCATATGAGGGAATGAGCCCTTCACTTCCTTTGATTGTATTGTAAAGAAGACTTGGCATCAAATCACCCACTTGATGTTTTAGACATAGATCCTTTTGCTTAGTCCCTGGAGAAGCCCTACAACTCTGCTCTAAGAAATGGCTTTCAAACTTTTGTGATTATGGTGCCCAATAAAAAACACATTTTATATTGCGAGCCAGTACACATACACTCACATAAATGATGCAGACTTCATGAAACAACACTGAACTTTGCCATGTGGAATGAGCTGATATTTTCTGTTTCAGTTCATTTTATTCCATTACTTTTTTCTATTTATGCCAGGTACTTCATACAGTTAAAGTTCCTACTTGGTTCCAAAAGGCATTTAAGATCACAGCTCCTGTGAAACATACAGGCATTTAAGGGGCTATTTGCCAGATGAATTTTTTCCCAGAGACCTTTTTGGAGGAGTGATTTTCATATCAAGGGTTGGGATATTAATAAAAATTAAAAGTAGAAAAGTACATATATATGTATAAGTGTATTTTGTACATATTATGTATTACATATGTGTATATGTGCACACATACAAACACACTCATACATACACTTTTTTCTGTTGATTTTAGTCAAGAATTGAAGGCCACTATCTGTGACTATAATTACTGAGCTTCTTCAGTGAATTAGAAGTAAAAATAATAAAATGTGGCTCCAGTCTTTTCCTTGTATGTCTAGGGGCTGACATTTTGGCCTATACCCTCAAAACCCGTCAGGACCTATACTCCTTCAGGCATCCCTTTTGTTTGCAACATCACCAACCTCTCCACCTTTCTTAGGAGGCCTCCTCACTGTGCCACGTGATGCTATGTAACTGCTGCCCATGTGATTGTGGCCACATTCCTTGACAGCTCTTCCATGGAAGCCACAGCAGTACTGGTAGCCTTGGAAAGCTAGCTTCTGGCATGACTTGTGCTTGGTTGATAACAGCACAGCAAGGGCAACATGAAGGGAAGCTGGTGGGTGGGTGCCTGGACCTTAGTTCTCAAAAACCCCAGTTCTGAGAGCCCACTGGAGATCTCACTGGACCCTTCTTTTTTTTTTTTTTTTAAGATTTATTTATTTATTTATTTGATGAGAAAAGACTCAGTGAGAGAGGGAACACAAACAGGGGGAGTGGGAGAGGGAGAAGTCGGCTTCCTGCTGAGCAGGGAGCCTGATGCGGGGCTCGATCCCAGGACCCTGAGATCATGACCTGAGCCGAAGGCAGACGCTTAACGACTGAGCCACCCAGGCGCCCCTCACTTCACCCTTCTTGCTGTTAACTTTTTTTGTGACTAATTCTCTCTCTTCCTTCTTGGATAGGAAATGTTCTGTTACGGAAACTGGACTAAGTACCAAAAGATTGTCACAAAATTGTTGTTTTACTATCTTCTTTTTTATTGTATCAGGTGACTCCCCAAAGAGACTATTCGGTAAATATGGCATCCCCCCACATTAGGGAATGGAGAAAGGGGGAGCATCAGGGACTGGCAGGCAGATGGGACATTTTGGGGTCTGAGAAGGATGGGTTTTCAAGTTTGTGGGTTAGGAACACTTTTCTGTAATGTGTTACTCTTGACAGTCTGGTCTCTAGCTGAATAGCATCATTTGGCTTCTAGTTCTCTGTCTAAAAATATATTCATGCTTACTTAATATTTAGGCAGATTTTTAAAATGCCCACTTCATCTTTCCTTCATTCCTTTATTTTACCCAGTCTATCAGAATCTCCTTCTAGATGTTTATGGCAAACATTTTTAAAAAAGATTTTATTTATTTATTTATTTACTTGAGAGAGAGAGAGAGAGCATGAACGGGGGGAAGGGCAGAGGGAGAGGGACAAGCAGACTCTGTGCTAAGCACAGGGCTCGAGTTGGGGCTTGACTTGGGGCTCAATCCTACGATTCTGAGATCATGACCTGAGCTAAAATCAAGAGTCAGAAGCTAACTGACTGAGCCACCCAAGTGCCCCCTTGGTAGACCTTCTTAAAAGAGACTACATTGCTCCTTTCTCATGGCCCATGCTCTTGTAAGCATGCTTCTTAGACAATTACTCTAATAAATGAAACTGTTCTTTAAAAAGTTATCAAAAATTTAAAATGACTAAATTTAATGCCTCAAAACTTTTCATTATGGAAAATTTCAAAAATATACAAAAGTAATGAGATTAGTATAATGAAGTTCCATATATTAATCAGCTGGCTGCAACAGTCATCAACATATTGCCATTCTTGGTTTCTTCATCCTTTCTACTCCCATGACTTTTTTCTTAATTCACATTCTCTTTGACTTCTTTGAAGTGTTTAATTTAACTCAATGTCCCTTCTTTCTTTAAATTGCCTCTTCCCTTAGCTTCTGAGAATCTAGAGTCCTGGACGTTTTCTTATGTGTTGGTTTATTTCTCCTTGATTAGAAAATGGTGAAGTGTCATTTTGGAGAGGCTCCTTCTTTTATGAAAATGTACAGAATTTAAAAGTACAGATCACTCATGCTTCCCAGGCCAAACTCTGGGAATAAAGGTTGGATCACCCCGAGCAGATATAGAGGAGGCAGGAAAGTAGAGAAGGTAGGAGTTAGGAAGGTGGAGTCCAGTGTGGGCTGTTGGCACCTGGGAAGGCTATTTGGAGGAAAAGGATTTTCTTCTTATTAGTGAATAGTTTTCCAAATTCTATGAACTTTCATAAAAGAGTTTACACCATTTGGTCACATCTGCTAAAGTTAAACAAATGCTCACTCAATGACCCAGTAATTCCAATCCTATCTAGCAGAGAAATTAGTACACGTCTACAAAAAGATATACAAGGATGATCACAGAAGTTTTATTCAACATTGTAAGTACTTGCATCAGCCTAAATGTCTATCAATAGGAAAATGGATAAACAAAATATAGTGTATTCAAGCAGTGGGATTCTGTTCTGTATAAAAAGAAATACTGATGCATGCAGCAATCTGGGTGAATCACCAATGCAAAGAATCCATACTGTGGGATTCCATTTAGATGAATTTCAGTAATAGGCACAAGTAATCCATGGTGTTAGAATTGTAGTTCATTCTGGTAGAGATGTTATTGACTGAAAACAGGCAAGAGGGAATCATTTCAGATGTTGAAATGCTCTCTATTTTCATCTGGGTGGTGGATATACAAGTATATTAATTTTGCCTGTTCTTCCACATCATTTAAATGGAATCATGCAGGGTGTATCCCTCCCCAATATTTCTTATTTTTGATATCAATTTTTTATTTACATTGTAGTAGTTAACATAGAGTGTAATATTGGTTTCAGGGGCAGATTTTAGTGACTCATCACTTACATATAACACCCAGTGTTCATCACAACAAGTGCCCTCCTTAATCCCCATCACCTACTTAGCCCATCCTCCACCCACCTTCCCTCCAGCAACCCTTAGTTTGTTCTCTGTTGTTAAGAGTCTCTTATGGTTTGCCTCCCTCTCTTTTTTCTCCCTTCCCTAAGTTCATTTGTTTTGTTTCTTAAATTCCACACATGAGTGAAATCGTATGGTATTTGTCTCTCTCTGACTGACTTATTTCACTTAGCATTATTACTGTAGCTCCATCCATGTTGTTGCAAATGGTAAGATTTCATTCTTTTTTGACTGTTGAATAATATTCCATTGTATATATGCACCACATCTTCTTTACCCACTCATCAGTTGATGGACATCTGGGCTCTTTCCATAATTTGGCTATTTTTGATAATACTGTTATAAACATCAGGGTGCATGTGCCCCTTCAAATCAATATGTTTGTATCCTTTGGGTAAATACTTCTGAGTAAGGGACAGGCAGGGCTAGGTAGGGAGAGATAGGTGGGGGCCACGGGATCAGGCTCACAAAAATCCCAAAAATGTGGACGTGTAAGGAAACCAGAGATAAGGAAACAAATCAGACCATCCTGTCCTAGGGATCAAAGGTGGTGTCTTGTTCAACAGCGACTTGTGACCAACAAAGAATTACTGGATCCTAAAAAAGGAAGTAAGCCATTGAAGGTGTTATCACTAGTCCTTACTCAATGGTGCTATAAATAGAGATGGTAAAAATATTTAAGTTCCCTGGTTAGCTTTCTGTAAAAGACCAACCCTAAAAGCCCTCACTGGCAACCCTGTTGGGACTCCTTCCTCACTCCTGAGAGCTTTTTCTGTATCCTCACTTAATAAAACTCTATCACTTTACTCACTCTCCTTTGTCCACGAGATTCATTCTTTGACTCTGTGAGAAAAGAACCTAGCTTTCCCATTCTACTTCGTACTGCAATTGCTGGATCATAGGGTATTTCTATTTTTATCTTTTTGAGGAACTTCCATACTGTTTTCTTTTCTTTTTTTTTTTAAAGATTTTTTTTCTTTTTTAAAAATTCAAATTCAATTAATTAACATATACTGGATTATTGGTTTCAGAGGTAGAGTTCAGTGATTCATCAGTCTTATATAATACCCAGTGCTCATTACATCACATGCCCTCCTTAATGTCCATCCCCCCACTTTGCTCCCCTCCAGCAACCCTCAGTTTGTTTCCTATGATTAAGAGTTTCTTATGGTTTTTCTCCCTCTCTGATGTTGTCTTGTTTTATTTTTTCTCTCTTTCCCTATGATCCTCTGTTTTGTTTCTTAAATTCCATATATTATTGAGATTATATGATAATTGTCTTTCTCTGATTGACTTACTTCGCTTAGCATAATACCCTCTGGTTCCAACCATGTTGTTGCAAATGGTAAGATTTCATTTTTTTGATGACTGAGTAGTATTCCATTGTATATGTATATACCACATCTTCTTTATTCATTCATTTGTTGATGGACATCTGGGCTCTT